AAAATCCCAGGACCAGACAGCTTCACAGCTGAATTCCACCAGAGGTGCAAAGAGGAGCTGATACCATTCCTTCTGAAATTATTCCAAACAACAGAAAAAGAGGAACTCCTCCGTAACTCATTTTGTGAGACCAGGATCATCCTCATACCAAAACCTGGCAAAGAAAATTTTAGGCCAATATCCCTGATGAACATTGATGCAAAAATCCTCAATAAAATACTGGCAAACTGAATCCAGCTGCACTTCAAAAAGCTTATTCACCACGATTAAGTCAGATTCATCCCTGGAATGCAAGGCTGGTTCGACATGTGCAAATCAATAAATGTAATCCACCACATAAACAGACCAAAGAAAAAAAACACACAATTATCTCAATAGATGCAGAAAAGGCCTTCAATAAAATTCAACACCCCTTCAGGCTAAAAACACTCAAACTGGGTATGGATGGAATGTATCTCAAAATAATAAGAGCTATTTATGACAAGTCCACAGCCAATATCATACTGAATGGGCAAAAGCTATAAGCATTCCCTTTGAAAACGAGCACACGACAAGGATGCCCTCTCTTACCACTCCTATTCAACATAGTATTGGAAGTTCTGGCCAGAGCAATCAGGCAAGAGAAAGAAATAAAGCATATGTAAAAAGGAAGAGAGGAAGTCAAAATGTCTCTGTTTGCAGATGACATAATTGTATATTTAGAAAACCCCGTCATCTCAGCCTAAAAACTCCTTAAGCTGATAAGCAAATTCATCAATGTCTCAGGATACAAAATCAATGTACAAAAATCACAAACATTCCTCTATATCAATAACAGACAAACAGAGAGCCAAATCATGAGTGAACTCCCATTCGCAATTGTATACCTAGGAATACAACAACGGATGTGAGAGACCTCTTCAAGAGCTACAAAACACTGCCGAAGGAAATAGAGGACAGAAACAAATGGAAAAACATTCCATGCTCACGGACAGGAAGAATCAACATCATGAAAATGGCCATACTCCCCGAAGTAATGTATATTCAGACCACCAGGATAATTCTAACCTTGTGACATTGCACTCATTTTTCTTTCTTTCTTTTTTTTTTTTTTTTTTGTTACCCAGGCTGGAGTGCAATGGCGTCATCCCAGCTCACTGCAACCTCCGCCTCCTGGGTTCAGGCAATTCTCCTGCCTCAGCCTCCTGAGTAGCTGGGATTACAGGCACGCGCCCCCATGCCCAGCTAATTTTTGTATTTTTAGTAGAGACGGGGTTTCACCATGTTGAGCAGGATGGTCTCGATCTCTTGACCTTGTGATCCACCCGCCTTGGCCTCCCAAAGTGCTGGGATTATAGGCGTGAGCCACCGTGCCCGGCCTGCATTCATTTTTCAAAGGTAGTTTCTGTTCCTGAATAGGAGGGGTAGGTTAAACTACAAACTACGTTCCTCCCACAGTGAGGCTGGCCTACATGCAGGAATAGGCAAAGGCCGTTAGCTTAGGAATTTAAAGGCAAGTTGGAGTCAGTTACGTTAGATTTCTCTCACTTTTATAACATGACGAGCGTAGTTTTGTGTTCAGTCTCTCTTACTGGTAGTGGTCATGACACGGGCTCGGGAGTTAGGTACACGTAGTTTCCATTCCCACCAGCCTTGACAAGCTACTTCACCTTGCTGAAGATTTGTATCCTTCTTTGAAATAACCAGATATGGTGGCTGAGAGGAGTAAATAAAATAACATCTGCAAACCCCCTGAGATCCTCTTTAAAACCAGCGTCTACAGTGCTGCCTGACGCCAGTTCCCTTGGTTTGTCTTTCTCTTTGTCTGTTTTCCTAAGGCTCAATGCTTCCAAGTACTCACCTGGATCCTGCCTCTTTGGTGAAATGTTTTCCAGCCATTCCTGAACCAGCTGATCCTACCCTTCTACAAATTATTTCTCCCATACATTAACATTTAATTATGCGCCAGTCCTCTAAGTGAGACCCTATAGAGAGGTTTTAAGGATATTGGCTGTGTGATCATGGAGGGATAATTGAGTTAATTATTTTTTTAGTGCTCCCTGAGTGTTAGAGCTGCCCTCTTTTTTTTTTTTTTTTTGAGACGGAGTTTCACTGTTGTTACCCAGGCTGGAGTGCAATGGCGCGATCTCGGCTCACCGCAACCTCTGCCTCTTGGGTTCAAGCAATTCTCCTGCCTCAGCCTCCCGAGTAGCTGGGACTACAGTCATGCACCACCATGCCCAGCTAATTTTTGTATTTTTAGTAGAGACAGGGTTTCACCATGTTGACCAAGATGGTCTCGATCTGTTGACCTCGTAATCCACCCGCCTCAGCCTCCCAAAGTGCTGGGATTATAGACGTGAGCCACCGCGCCAGGCCCCTCTCTTTTTTTTTTTTTTTTCAGCTGTTGATAGTGGTAGTCCCTTCTGCACCAGCAGCACCAGACCCTGACAGGTGTGTGAATTCCTTAGGGATTGCTCTTGTCACGGTCCTTTCCACCTCTGGATTTTGGTTCCATTTGTATTTCCTTTTTCATGTTATTCAGTTGCCTGTTGCGATATTGTGAAATGCAGATAAGACTGTGGTAAAATAATTGGAGGACACCCAGCCGGTGTCCACCACAGAACGGATTGCTCATCTGGTGGTGGGGAGGAAGCCCGTGCGCACATCTGATCCAAGAATTCTTCCGTGTTGATGACTGTTGTGGTGTGAAAGCAGAGAAAATCGGTTTTAGAGCTTTTCTAAATATCCCTCCAAGGGAGGGATTGTTGACATTTCTTTATGAAAACTTCAAGATAATAACGCAATATCTTCTTCCTTCAAAAGCCTGGTGACACGAATTGCATTCACTTTCCTACTTCGGGAAATTGACACCAGGGTCTTTACTCTCTCACTTCAGAAGAGATGAAGAACAAAAGACCAGATGGGGAGGACAAGGCTGTTTCGGGGAGGTCGTGTACCTCTGACCTGGATTCTATGATGCCCATTCAACCACACCTGGGAGCGTGCATCTTCTCGTGTATAGTCATACATTTCCATCACATGATTCATAATTCCCTCCCTATCAGTGGCAAGTAGGAGCTCATGTAAAGCTTAGGACAGTAAAATTATATGGTGCGTGCTTTCACTGCACCAAAGTTTTCTCTGGGGTTTAAGAAAACAATAGGACAAGAGGACTGCCCTCTTTACCTGGAGTCCTGCCTTCTCTTTTTATGGAGTAGTGGTCTACTCACCTATCATTTTTGACCTTCCCATTCTCCTACCACGGGTTCAGACATAATTACTAAAGCCCAGATAGAATTACTCGTGCCTGGAATGTGACGTTCTTTTTAAAAAGAGAGACCCGAGGAATGGTTGCCTAGCTGATTTCCAGCAATCTAATTTTCACTAAGTTGCTGGTTTTCATCCCTGGCTACTGGTTAGAGTCACCTGTAGGAATTTGAAACATACCAATGTCTGTGCTTTCCTCAGAGAGAATCTCATTTGATTGCTCCATGGTGTGGCTTGGGATTTAGTCATTTAAAAATGTTTCCAAGGAAAATAGTCAATTTACAGTGGAGGAACTTTAGCCCAGTGCTCGAAGCTAACATCCCCAGTAATGGAAGATGTGGACATTCTGGGCATCATAATATGATGGATGGAGAAGGTGCAGCATCACCTCTGTGGCATTTTGCCCAAAGTGGATAACCTGAATTTAATCATGAGAAAATATTAGGTAAGCCCAAACTGAGGGTCATTCTACAAAATAACTCACCAATACTCTTCAAAAATGTGAAGGTCATGAAGACAAAAGTAATTCTGAGGAACCCTCTCAGATTAAAGGAGACTGAGAGGACAGAGCAGTGAGATGCGACGTGTGATCCCGGATTGGATCCTGGTCCAGAAAGAGGACATTAGTGGGAAGCTAAAGGGGATTTGAATAGGGTCTGCAGATTCATTCACTGTGAGATGTCAGTGACCATTTATTGATGCTGATGATTATCTCTGGTTATCTATAATGTTAATATTTGGGAATGTTGAATGAAAAGAACATGGTGACTCTATTTTTGAAACATTTTTAGAAGTGTAAAATTACTTCAAAATGAAAGTTATAAAAAAGAAAGGGGAAAAAAGCTTCCAGATAATTCTGAGTTCCCAGAGTTGAAGACCATTTCCCTAAGTTATCTTACCTAATACTGTCAAAGGAATCTTCCTGGAAATGCTGTTTGTGATGTTACTGACCTTCTCAAAGATTTCCAGTCACTCCTGTCATCTATAGGATGACATTCCAGTTTTGTAAGCTGTCATCCAAAGCCCCCATAACACGAACCCAACATACTCCCTTGATCCACATGGAAGGACTTGATCCACATTTGACTTTCTCACGTCCAAATACGTTCCCATTATTTGACTCCTTCACATAACATGGATACCTGCCTGTTCACCTCCTCAGCTGTTCTTCTTCCTAAGACTTATCTCCGTCCCTGTCTCTTCACTGAAGTCTCTATGGTAATTTCTCTTAGAAGCAGTCATCCTTTCTTTCTTTGAATTCTGGAAGGTAAAACGGTATGGACTGAAACATCAGCTTTAGATTCAGAAATATGTGGGTCTGAAACCTGGTTCCACCTTTCACCAATTCTGAGATAAAAGACAAGTTCATTGATGTCTTGGGACAGAGGGGTAATAGTGCCTACTTAAAGGATCATTGTGCGCATTCGATGAGGTGCAAACATTAAGGTCTCCAGCACAGAACAGATTCTTTTCCTCTCCATTTTTATTGCTCAGTGGTTCCCAAAGATATTACGGGTGATGCAAAGGCTTTTATCAAAATTTTCTGCAGAGCCTTTTAAAAATTCTTGTGGCTGGTCATCACTAAGATGAGAGACGCTCTTGAACTGAACTGAATGCTTGGGACTTTAAAAAATTCAACCGAGATTTGTTTTTCCTGGAACACAACCCAGTAAACAAGTGGATAGAAAAATATGACCCAACAGAGAAGGAAGGGTGGGACAATGGTTTCATGTAGCACCCTGTCTTCTTAGGAAAAAGCCGTGATGCCTTCTGAATCCACCTGTTTGCTCCCAGTTGTGACTCCTGCAAAGCATCTCACCAATCCATTCCCTGCCCAGGTGATGTGTGCATAGGTGAGTCAGACACTCTTCTCCCCTTTCATCTCCCCCACCCCCACCACTGTGTGCTCTGGTCTGGCCCCAGCTCCTAGGCCATTAGTATTGGTCTAAGAAGGCAAGGCCAGCAGGGGCAGTTGAGAGGAAAGTCAGAGGCCACCAAGCATGCAAGGAAGGACAGGCCGTCATTGTCATTGCTCAAAGCCACCCCCTCTGGGTGTGTTTTATAACCATTTCTGGATTTGGACTCTTCTGCCCTTTGTGACCATCCCAGGGACTCGCCCTCCTCCTATTTCCTTCTCATTACGTTTTCTGACCTCAGTGCATCATTTTTATAGCCAGAGACTGGCTGTGTAAACAGTTGACAATGCAGTAAAAGTTACTTTTTGTGAGGACTGAGAACCTGGCCCACCCTGTGTTGAGGTTCACAGAAGCCAGCTTTCGTGCAGGGCCGTGCAGTTGTGAGCGTGGTGTTAGGGAGCAGGTGCGTAAGTGAAGATTGAGACAGAAAACGAAATGCTGGCTGTTCATCAAATCCTGAAAGTAGAAGGGACGAAACTTATTCTGGAAGGTGGATGTCATTCAGGAGAACCTGGAAGCCCCAGGGGGTCCTCTGCACATTCGTTTGTGGAAAACGAGGTTAAATTACGGAGCTGGATGACACTCACTGCATCACTTCACTTCTCTGCCCTTGTTTTTTAAATCTGTAAAAGCAGGGATGGTGACACTCAGGACTTTTTGTGGGGACTGTAGCTACCTGAAAACCCCTTAGGATAGTGCCTGCTGCATAGCGAGTGCTACGTCAGTGTGAGCTCTTATAATTATGGAAACAGGCAAAGGGGCCACCCAGGGCATCCAGAGTGGGGAGGTGTTTTCCAGTGAGGGTCCGTGCAGGCAGCTGGAGATGAAGATGGTGAAGGGGGCTTAACCTCCACGGTGGAAGGACTGGGGAGCAGTCCTGAGAAGGAAGTCAGAAGCCAACAGGCACGGAAAGAGGCAGGTGGGGCTGTCATTGCTCAAAGGACACACACTCTGGGTGTGTTTTATTGGCTGTTGCTGGGTCTGGAATCTTCTCCCCTCTGTGACCATTCCAGGGACTCGCCCTCTTCACATGTTTCTGGATTTGGAATGTTGAGCAATCTTCATGATGTACAACATTCTGTGAAAATATCTTTACCCAACAGCAGGAATAGACAGAGTGGGTGTGGCTTCTGTCACAATTATTGTCTCCTAGGAGTCCAGCAATGTGCCTTAGGGTCAAATGGTTTTGCTGAAAGCCAGGCCTGAAAATGGGCTTCAAGGAAGCCTTGAGAATAGCATTTATGTTGCCAGTGGAAAGCATTCATCTTAATAAAGAAATCCCATCTTACAGTCTGGATCAGTATTTTTTGCCTCTGTACTATCCTTATTTATAAATTGTAAAGAGAAAGACCGAAAAAGAGTGACATAAGGAAGTGCAGGTATGAATTAATAGGGCAGAATTGGGACCAGTATGTGTATATTAAGGGGAAGCATGTATACATGTTATGTGAACATAAAAAAGACTTCCTGTTTTAAACAGACTTCTCCGTGGAAATAATATCCACTGGGAGGCCAAGGCGGGCAGATCACGAGGTCAAGAGATGGAGACCATCCTGGCCAAGATGGTGGAACCCTGTCTCTCCTAAAAATACAAAAAATAGCCAACAGCGGCGGCTCACGCCTGTAGTCCCAGCTATTCTAGAGGCTGAGGCAGAGGAATCGCTTGAACCCGGGAGGCGGAGGTTGCAGTGAGCCAAGATCGCGCCACTGCACTCCAGCCTGGCAACAGAGCAAGCCTCCATCAAAAAAACAAAACGAAACACAACACAAAAACCGGCCTTGAGTGGATAGAAGACCACATGACAAGAACATTCCGGCAGTCAGGAGACAATGGGTAGTGTGGCTTCTTCGCTAAATGGTAGGTTAAACTGAGTTAGTCACTGAAGAGAAAGAAGATAAAGGAGAAGATGGGTGAGGGTGAGAGAATGTGGGATGGCGAAAGGAAAGGACTAAAGGTTTCCTGAGGCCTCATCAGGTACCGGGCTCTGCGTCTAACAATGCCTTCCACATATTAACGTACCCATTCAGTGTCATTTTCAGATGCAGTAAGAGTGACCCTTGTGTTGGATGAGAAGAGGCTGAAGGGAGTGGTCCAGGTCACCCAGCCAGTTCATAGCAGAGCTCGTGTGTTTCACCTTGAAGTTTGTGCTCTTCTCTGTGATTCCGACAGAAAAGTGAGACACAGAAGGAAGGCAAAGCAATTTTTTGTTGTGGGTGAAGTTGACAAAAGGTACCTGTATTAGGCAGAGTAATGGCGTCCTGAAAATATCCACATCCTAAACCCTGGACCCTGTGTATGTTACTTTATTTGGCAAAAATAATAATAATAATGGCCGGGTGCGGTGGCTCACGCCTGTAATCCCAGCACTTTGGGAGGCCAAGGCGGGTGGATCACGAGGTCAAGAGATCGAGACCATCCTGGTCAACATGGTGAAACCCCGTCTCTACTAAAAATACAAAAATTAGCTGGGCCTGGTGGCGCACACCTGTAGTCCCAGCTACTCGGGAGGCTGAGGCAGGAGAATTGCCTGAACCCAGGAGGCAGAGGTTGCGGTGAGCCGAGATCATGCCATTGCACTCCAGCCTGGGTAATAAGAGCAAAACTCCGTCTCAAAAAAAAAAAAAAAAATAATAATAATAATAATACTTTGCAAATGAGATGAAGTTAAGGATCTTGAGACAGGAGGTTATTCTGGATAATCTGGGTGGGCTCAGTGTCATTAGAAGGGTCCTTGTAAGGGAAAGCAGGAGGCAGGAGGGTCAGGGTGAGAATGATGCAGGCTGAGAGACTCCACTGGCCATTGCTGGCTGTGAACATGTATCAAAAGACGAAATTACAACAAACTCAGTTATAGATCTAATTGGCTTTTATTTGTGATTCACAAACCACGGCAGCTTCCATTCTACAAAATACAGTGATAGCTCTCACTGGGCAATACAATAGGAGAATAGTGGGCTAATGGGAATCCAGGAACAGAAGAATAGAAAGAAATTGATCGGTCGATTTCAAAATACTTCGTATTACTTTTTTCTAAGAGTTAAGGCAGAAAGGACTTTCCTACTATGCTGATTCGGACGGTCTGGACTCTCCCGTCTTTAGGAAAACTTTGTCTGTTCTGGGATCTGCCTGCTCCCTCAATGTTTCAGTGTATGTGGCATTTAGCATGGAACTAAACACCTACAAATGGAGCCCCATTCTGGAGTCACTAGGCTCTCACCTAGATGAGAGTTTGACAAAATATAAAGCATTAACACTGCTGTCATTGCCATCATTTTGGACTTCCCTCATTCATAGGTTATGACACATAACCCATGTCACACATTTCTTCCAGTTTTCATCATTTCAGCCAAAGAAAATATCTGACATTTGATGGATGGCTGCATGCAAACATTTAAAGTGTTTAGAGAATACAGCACACAATCGAGAGGGATAACACCAAGGGTTTGGGGTATGATCCATAGGCAGGGTCCCCATGAACAAAACCAAAAAGAATGAGCCACATGAGGAGCCTACCCATTTGAACCCAAGGAGCATGTCTGTTAATTTTTGCAACTGAGCCTCTATAAAATCCGCTGTATTTATCTATGTGCAACAAAAAGTGTCCGCAACTGCACAAACGCCTCCCTGTTCAGCTAGCAGGGAGCAAATCTATTATCTATCCCACGGCTGGGTCAAATTAAAACCGGGGATGAGAACAGGTGAGTCTAAGGTCCAACGCTAAAAGGGACCACCGTACATTTGAGAAAACAGTTGTATTAGGGATGTTGTTGAAAGCCAGCCATTGGATGGAATAAAGGATCCCTTAGGTCAAGTAAAGATTTGGGTTTGACATGATGACATGATGGATCCAACACTCTGTCAAATTACAGGCACAAGCCACTGACTGTGAAATCCCAGTTATAGCATCATCCTGCCAAATTAAAGACGCAGGCATGAGCAGGAAAAAATGGAGCGGAGTAAGAACCTCATCATGGTGGGGCATCCGGTTCTGACATCCTGGGAAAAGCTGTCCACAGCATGAAGTCTTCAACTTCTCATCCCGGTTGGTAGTTTGTCTCTCTTGTTACAGTGTTGAACGTTTTGGTGAGCTCTGAGTGAGCCACATCTCAGGCACGAGGGTTTTCCCTTGAAATTTACGTTGAGTTGTCCACCTACAGCTTATAGGGCTTCAGGAAGAGAGCAGGTCTTGTACTTAGTGATTCCACAGGAGAAAATAGGATTGAAGGAACAAGAAGAATTCAGGGTCCAGTCCAGTCTACAGGTGGACAATACAAACTGAAAAACAGCATACAGGGCTATAATTTGATAACTGTTGCTTCATGTTTTTTCTTCTGAACATAATTTTTCTCTGTCTCTCCCTGTTTGTACCAAAGTTAATCAGAGTAAGACTAATTTGTTTACAAAATAGGTAGAGTCTCATCAAACTTGGCCTGATTATTTATATAAGAAGTACAGCAAGAATAGCAATTGACCACATAGGATCTTTTCAAGTGTGCTTTGCTGGAAGGTTTGATAAGGAATCTCAGATAAACTTTTTTTTTTTTTTTTTTTTGAGACGGAGTTTTGCTCTTGTTACCCAGGCTGGAGTGCAATGGCACGATCTCGGCTCACCGCAACCTCCGCCTCCTGGGTTCAGGCAATTCTCCTGCCTCAGCCTCCTGAGTAGCTGGGATTACAGGCACGTGCCACCATGCCCAGCTAATTTTTTGTATTTTTAGTAGAGACGGGGTTTCACCATGTTGACCAGGATGGTCTCGATCTCTTGACCTCATGATCCACCCGCCTCGGCCTCCCAAAGTGCTGGGATTACAGGCTTGAGCCACCGCACCCGGCCAGCTCAGATAAACTTTAAAAAGCTTCTCAGCACTAGGAAGCCAAACCAAGGCTTTGCCTGCAGTACCTATGGGTTTCTTCTATGTGTATTTCCAAATATGACATCCCAGCCAAAGCCTTGGTAATATAACCAATATTTTTAAATGTATCCTGTTATAAACAGAACCGATTCTTAATGAACGTATGCAAATAACTACTGCCATAGTAATGTAAATAACCATGAATAGTTGCCCAATTCTGGATGAAAAATGTAGAGAGAAAAATTAATGTTTCAATTTTTGTTCACAAGTTGTACTTTCCCAAATTTCTGTAAGCTATGGATAGCTTAAAAGAAAGCATTTCTTTAATCTGGAAAACAAAACATTTAAAGAATCAGCAAAACTTCAACTAAAAATTCATTGAAACATTATCCTTGGCAAGGCGCAGTGGCTCATGCCTGCAATCCTAGCACTTTGGGAGGCCGAGGCGGGTAGATCACCTGAGGTCAGGAGTTCGAGAACAGCCTGGCCAACATGGTGAAACTCTGTCTCTACTAAAAATACAAAAATTAGCTAGGCGTGGTGGCACATGCCTGTAGTCCCAGCTACTCGAGAGGCTGAGGCAGGAGAATCGCTTGAACACAGGAGGTGGAGGTTGCAGTGAGCAAAGATCACGCCAACGCACTCCAGCCTGGGAGACAAGAGGGAGACTTTGTCTCAAAAAATTGAAAATAAAAAAATTATCCTCAGTAGTTCATTTAGTTTCATGAAATTACTTTTTTGTTCTGCTTGATCTTGGTTGGCGGTTTCACGAAGCTCTCTCTTCATTAAAATTTTGGAAATTCTTAGCCCAATGGTATGACTCTAAAGTTACCAGAAACCTGTATTCAAGACAACTTGTCAGAGTGTTATCCATAAATCTCCTTGAAAAGAGGCCGGGTGTGGTGGCTCAAGCCTGTCATCCCAGCACTTTGGGAGGTTGAGGCGGGTGGATCATGAGGTCAAGAGATCGAGACCATCCTGGTCAACATGGTGAAACCCCGTCTCTACTAAAAATATAAAAAATTAGCTGGGCATGGTGGCGCGTGCCTGTAATCCCAGCTACTCAGGAGGCTGAGGCAGGAGAATTGCCTGAGCCCAGGAGGCGGAGGTTGTGGTGAGCTGAGATCGCGCCATTGCACTCCAGCCTGGGTAACAAGAGCGAAACTCCGTCTCAAAAAAAAAAAAAAAAAGAAAGAAAATCTTCTTGAAAAAGAAGGAGTTTTGGACTGTAACTATTTCCAACTGCTTTTAGAGAAGAATCAGAACAACTGTTTGTGAATGACAAAGACTTAAACGGCTGTGGTTAGAAATCCGACAAGATTTCAGATGTGACAGATTTGAAGACAATGACACCACTCACAAGGAATTTTGGTTCTTTCTGTGGCATGTAACACTGCGAGTGATAAAATATTAGATTTCTAAAAATCTCACATAATTTTTGAAACATTCATGTCAGGAACGTACCCGCAAATATAGCTTAGAGAAGGTCTGGCATCACTTTATCATTTGACAGTGTTTTCCATATAATTTAACAGATCAAATAAGGTGAATTTTCATTTAGCTTCTGTTTCTCAGCTGGATTACTGAGTTCAGGGAATAGCCCATTAACAAATGTGGCCAAAAATGGATAAGTTTATGTATGTCGAAACAGTTCCCCGGGTAATTTTGATACACACCCGTAGCTAAAAACCATTGGTTTAAGCCCAAGTCCTACTTCTCAGAGCAGGGGTTCCGCATCCTGGATGCTCACGGCAGCATGTGGGAGGCTGAAATAACGCTGCCTCGGTCCCGCTCTAGACCATTACATCAAAATGTCTGAGTAGAGCCTGGGAATCAGTTGTTCTTTTAAACAATTTCCCAGGGATTCCACTGTGTATCCGTATGTCCCATTAGGTTTCTCTTTTTTTTTTTTCATAGAATTTATCTTTTTCTATTTTGGTATTACAATTATTTTTCATGTCTTATTTTTTGGAGACAGGGTCTTGCTGTGTTGCCCAGGTTGGAGTGCAAAGGCACAATCATAGCTCACTGCAGCCTTGGACTCCTGGGCTCGAAGGATCCTCCCACCTCAGCTTCCCAAAGCACTGAGATGACAGCTGTGAGCCTATGCACCTGGCCCTTTGGCTTATCTTCTGTCTCAGGCTTTATGTTCCCTGGAGTAGGGACCCTGCCTTCTTCATTTCTGTATCTTTCATGAACACACAAATTGGTTATCAGAAAAAGATTCTCAGCCATGCTTAGGTTGTGTCCTGAGTCTCAGGTTCACATGTTAATGCCACAGTCTTTGTTCTCCACAAGGGCAGAGGTTGCTTGTGATGAAGGCTGTGGGTAACTCCACAGTGCAGATGGTGGAGGAAGGTTACCTTGTTTTTAGGCATAACATTGGAACTAAGAACTCTATGTGTACATGGGGTGGAGGGGCAGGGATATATAGGAAGACAGATCTAATTAGGATGGAGAAATTATACTCAGGAGTAGTGGTAAAGGAAGTAAAAAGGATTAGTGAAGAGAAGAAATGTGAACTTATCTAACAGGCTACAGTAGGCCCCTGCAGGTTCTTGAGTAGGTGAGTGAACTAGATTTTAGGAAGGTATTGAGGCAGCCAAATGCAAGAAAAATGTCAAAGACTTCAGACAGGAAGTCAAGCAGGACTTCAAGCAGTTGTTGAGGTTTATGGGAATGAAGAGAACAGTACAAGTGGGAGAAGTTTTAAAAAGGACCGAGAGGCTTTCACAAGGTATTGAACTGGGGAAACAAACGAGCAGAGGCTGAGAGTAGTCATATCTAAGAGACAGTGGGGTACAGGGAGCATGAAGACTAGGGAAGAAGAGACCAGCAGGAATTAGTGTGAGAAGCAGGAGTTTAGGGGTAGGAGGAGGAGATCTAGTCCCAGATGCAGGTGAAGAAGTCCTTTCCCTCTCCCGAGCGTGGTGGTCAGCACTGTGGGAAACAGGACAGGAGGAAAGGCCACCATACCTGCCAGTCTTCCTGAAATGCAGAAACTACACCAGGGCTGCTATCAGAGCCACCCCAGCCAGCACTCCAGTCATGATGCTGACAGTGGTCCCAGCTGAGACAACAGGACCGCCTGATACTGAAAAAAAAAAAAAGAGAAGGAGTGGAGGTGATGTTATTTTACAATGGGGTGCCCCAGGTGCCAGCTCTCAGCATGAAGTAGTCTCCACTTGTTCCTTCAAGGAATGCATTCGTTTTGCAGGAAGGTTCACATTTTTTCTCTCTCACTGTGTTTCTAGTTGGTGATTAGTCTTCTGCCAATTCCATCCTGGCCTTTCCACACTCAGATATTTCCGAAGGCTTTGAAATTTATAAAGACCGATTGCTATTTTTGCGTCTCATTAGAACTTTCTATCTTTTCATGGTTGCATCTTTTTCTCAGTGTCTCAGTTGAGGAGGCATAAGTACGAGTCTGTGGGGTCTCTATGACAGGGACTTGATTGACACAAGGCCCCGGCTGGAGCCTTCTGTGTTTCCTAAGTCCTGTGTACACAGAACTCGCCTCTCATGGGCTCCCAGCAGGGGAATGCAATCTCGGTTCTGGGAGACTCTGCTTCTCTCTTAAGGGTGAGGACTCCCCATCAGCCTTGTGGAAACTCTGAGAACCGCATCACCGTCTAAAACTCTCTCCTCTTTCTCCTGCTCAGGAATCAGATCTGCGTCGTGGTCTGAGGGCTGTCTCAGACCCCTCCCACTCCTACTCTGCTTTTCCTCATGGTTGTTTTCCCCAATAAATTACCTGGCACCTCTAACCCCATCTCGGCTGCATCTCAGTGGGTAAAAACTAACAAACTCGGCTTGATTCTTTGCACTTAACTTTTTTTCTGTCTCCCATTTTTCGCCAGTAGCCATGTCCTGGTGGGTTTTCATTTGGGGCTCAGCTCTTACCCGTCAACTCGGGCTGACGGTTAATGCCATGTTAGCTACTGGACATGCTTATCTGGTGCCTCATTTGATCCACACAATCACCCTGTTGGGTAGACATGATTTCCATTTTACAGATGAAATGACAGAGCCTTAGAGTGGTGAAGAAACCTACCCAAAGTCATATGGGTAGTGAGAAGTCGACCTCGGACCTGATGCTAGGACTGCCTGACTTCAACCTCCTGCTAACAGTGGTAATAAGAGCAGCTGACCTTGTGCAGTTTTCCTCTGTGGGTGGCATTTTGCTGAAGGCCTAATCAAATAGTACATTAAATCTTTAAACCATACTATGAAACAGGCACTCTCATGGCAATTTCATTCCCTTCAATTCTGGTGATGAGAATTATTACGATTTTCAGTTGAAGAACTGAAGGCTCAGAGAAGTTACGAATCTTGTGCGAGAAATTTAAAATGGTAAATACATTAAAAATAAAGAGAGGCCTCAAATCAACAACCAAGCGTTACCACTTCAGGATAGAGAGAAAGAACAACCTCAAACCACAGATAGTGCATGAAGGAAATAATAAGGATTCGAGTTTAAATAAATAAATGGAAAATAGAAACACAAGAGAAGGAATCAATGAAACCAAACGTTGGTTCTTCAAAAAAGATTGACAAAATCGACATTTACTAGATTGACCAAGGAAAAAGAGGAGATTCAGATTACTAAATCAGAAATGAAAATGGAGGTATGGTGGTTCACACCTTTAATCCCAGCACCTTGGGAGACTCAAGTAGGAGGATTGCTTGAGGTCAGGAGGTCGAGACCAGCCTGGGCAACATAGGGAGACACGATCTCTACAAAATTTCTTTAAAAAACGATCCAGGCATGATGGCACATGTCTGTGTTCCCAGCTTCTCAAGAGGCTGAGGTAGGAGGATCACTTGAGCCTGGGAGGTCGAGGCTGCAGTAAGCTATATGATGGCACCACTGCACTCTAGCTTGGACTGGGCTACAGAGTGAGACTCTATCTATTAAAAAAAAGGAAAAGAAAATGGCGACATTGCTACCAGTTCTACCAATTCTACAGAAATATTAAAGATTACAAGAGTGCTATGAATCATTGTATGCCAACAAATTGTTGAATAACCTAGATGAGATGGACAAATTCTTGGAAACTTTTAACAGATCGATAATTAGATAGAACCAATAAAAGCATCTGACAAAATAGAACATTCTTTCATAATAAAAACTTTCCATGAATGGAAGGAAACCGCCTTAATATAATAAAGGCAACATGTGAAAAGCCCAAAACTAACATGATGCTCAACGGAGAGAGACTGAAAGCTTTCCCTGTAAGACCCGGACAAGGACACCTGCTTCCGCCACTTTTATTCAGCGTAGTATTAGAAGCCCGAGCCAGAGAAACTGGAAAGAAAGATGAAGACATCCAAATTGGAAAGAAGAAGTAAAATGATCTCTGTTCGCAGATGTCGTGAACTTATATGTAGAAAACCCTAAAGATGAAAAAAAACCTGTTAGAATCAATAAATAAGTTCGGGAACGCTGTAGGATACAAAGTCAACACGCAAACATCAGTTGTGCTTCCACACGTTAACAACGAGCAATCTGAAAGAAATTAGGAAAAAATTCCCCATTCACATTAATATAAAATAGTATAAAATATTTACAAATAAGTTTAAAAGGAGGTGAAAAGATTATACCTTGAGCTGGAAGAAATTAAAGATGACATGAATAAGTGGAAAGACATTGGGTTTTCATGGATGGGAAGACTCAGTGTTGGGAGGACAGCACTACCCACAGTGAGCTGCAGGTTCAGTGCAATTCCCACCAGAGTCCCAGTGACAGTTTTGGCGGAAATAGAAAAACCTATCCTAAAATTCATATGGCATCTCGGGACTCTAAACAGCCAACAACCTGGAAAATAAAGAATGAAGCTGGAGGACTCACGCGTCCTGACTCAGCATTTACTCTAAAGCCACAGTAACCGATGCTCAGTGTGGTACTGGCCTAAAGGAAGATACTGAAGCCAATGACACGGAATAGGGAGCCCAGGAAGAAATGCTTGAATATATGGCTAAATGCTCTTTGGTGAGAGCGCCATGAGCATTTAGTGGGGAAAGGACAGTCTTTTCAACAAATGCTATGGGGAAAGCTGGATATCCATGCATATGAACCAGCTGAATCTTTACCTGACACTGTGTATGAAATTAACCTAAAATGGATCAAAGCCCTAAACATAAGAGTGAAAAGTATAAAACCCTGAGAAGAAAACATAGGAAAAAAGTTTTGTGACATTGAATTTCATAGTGATTTCTTGGTTATAACAACAAAAGCATGAGCAACAAAAGAAAAATGGAAAAGCTGGACTTCATGAAAATTAAAAACTTTTATGTATCAAAGAACATTATGGAGAAAGTGAAAACGCAACCTATGAAATAGGAAAAATATTTGCAAATCATATATATGATAGGGGATTAATTTCCAGAATATATGAAGAACTACTGTAAATGAACAACCACAAAAATCCAAAACCCAATTAAAAGAATGGACAAAGGACTAAAATAGAGATTTCTCCACGAAAGATACACAAATATCCAACAAGCATATGCAAAGATGCTCAATACCACGAAGACTTAGGGATACGCAAATGAAAACCGCAGTGAGACTCTACCCCACGCACGTTAGGATGGCTTTGACAGGAAAAGAACACGGAGCCATACGTGCTTTCAAGGAGGCGGACACACTGGAACTCCAGTGCATTGCTGATAGAAATGCGAAATATTAGCTACTGTGGAAAATGGTATGGTGGTTCCTCAAAAAATAAAACAATTAACAATCGATCCACCAATTCCTTTTTGTGGACACACACCCAAAAGAACTGAAGGCAGCAATTTAACAGATGTTTGAACACTGATGCTCATGGCGGCATTACTCTCAATAGCCAAAGGTGGAAAGAACTGAAAAGTCCATTGGAAGATGAGTGGATGGAAATGAGGGATATCCACACAACGGATGTTACTTCACCTTAACCAGGAATGAAACTGTGGTACATGGTGCAAAATGGATGAATCTTGAAGACATTCTGCTAAGTGAAATAAGCCGGACACAAAAGGACAACCTGATATAATTCCATTTCTATAAGATAGAATAGTTGATTACCCAGAGACAGAAAGTAGAATGGAGGTTCCCAGGAGTTAGGGGGAGAAGGAGTGAGAGTTACTGTTTATTGGGTACAGAGGCTTAGTATGGTAAGATGAAATAGTTCTGGAAATGAATAGTGTGATGGTTACACGAGAGTATAAATATACTTGACTTCTTTTTTTTTTTGAGACGGAGTCTCAGTTGTCACCCAGGCTGAAGTGCAGTGGTGCCATCTCAGGTCACTGCAACCTCCACTCCCCAGGTTCAAGTGATTCTCCTGCCTTAGCCTCCTGAGCAGCTGGAATTACAGGCGCCCACCACCATGCCCAATTAATTTTTTTTATTTTGTATTTTTAGTAGAGACAGGGTTTCACCATGTTGATCAGGCTGGCCTCAAACTCCTGACCTCAGGTTATCCATCTGTCTCAGCCTCCCAAAGTGCTGAGATTACAGGCATGAGCCATCACACGCAGCAATATACTTGATTTATATTTATGCTGTGTCACTTAACTGTACACTTAGAAATGGTTAATGTTGGCTGGGCATGATGGCTCACGCCTGTAATCCCAGCACTTTGGAGGCCGAGGGGGGCGGATCACGAGGTCAAGAGATCGAGACCATCCTGGCCATGGTGAAACCCCATCTCTAATAAAAATTTTAATTTTGTAAAAATACAAAAATTAGCCGGGCATGGTGGCATGTGCCTGTGGTCCCAGCTACTCGGAAAGCTGAGGAGGAAGAATCGCTTGAACCCAGGCGGAGGTTGCAGTGAGCCAAGATTGTGCCACTGCACTCCAGCCTGGCAACAGAGTAAGACTCCGTCTCAAAAAAAAAAAAAAAAAAAAAAGAAATGGTTAATGATAAGTTTTATGATAGACAGATACAGTGGCCGGTAGTCTTGCCCTCTCTATAAATCCACACTTTTTGGCACTGCCTCCCATGCAGAGCCACCCACCATGGCTGAATCTCCCCACTTCTCCAAGTATGTGTCGCTCACTGTCCTCTGTGCTGTGTCCTCATACAGCCAGTGACTTCAGGGCCAGGACACAGCGCAGGAGTCCGTCCGAGGCTCCCTCTCTTCCCATTTCCCTGAAACCTTACCCGGGGGAGGCTCTGCTGTGGAAGGGCAGCTCGATTTAGCCAGATTCAGAACAGCCCACCTGGACACCTTCTCTACACGCCCCAGTCCCACCCCAAGTGCAGTCAGGGCAGAGCCAGACACTGGGGGAGCTGGTGCAGAGCAGGGAGCAGAGTCTGAGCTGCTCCTCCCTTATCCAAGGGGCTTCCTCCTCTCGTTTGGGGAAAAAGTGTGAGCTTGTTTCAAAGCCTCCTTGTTCCTTGTAGCTCACAGAGTAGGTTAAAACTAAAACAAAAAACAAAGAGGTGACAAAAAGGGACGTATTGATGAGCAAAAGACCATTTAAGCACTCTTAAGGACCCTTCCTGCTCTCCCCTCTGTGAAGCCCCTTCCACTACATGGGGCTTTGGAGCTGAGGGAGCCCCCTCCGCACATTCCGGGCTGGATCCATAATCATCCATGAGAAATTACTGAAGCAAGAGGAGGAGGGTCTGCAGGGACAGACTGAGAGGGTTCAGGGCAGAATTTGAGATCTGCTTGTGCCGATGGGACACAGGCTGGAAAAGAAAATTTTTTCAACTCTTCCTTAACACCAGAGAGACTCCACCTCAAAATACGATGCCGACGGTCCAGGGACCTGTGTACCATGGTCTGTGATCATCTCAACTGCAGTCCTCTTGCGGCCAGTGGCCAATTCATAGGCCTGGCAGGTACAGGACACGCTATTCTTTGCAGTGCTTCGGGGATGAAGAGTTTCTGCATGTGCTGCAGAAGCTTTCCATCACTCAGCCAAAAATACCATGCGGGTTAGAAGCCGCATGGCTAAAGAGCCTGATATGTGCTCCTAACCTGTAATATGTGTCTGGGGTAGAAATGGTGGGGGTGCCCACGCCACCTGGAGCAAAGAGAATAAAGCCATAGGTGAGGGAAGCGGAAGCTCCTGGTCTGTGAGGGCCGCAGTGTCCCTCTTACCCAAGTCACCACCCTGAATTCCCACCCAAACCCCGGCTGTGTTCACTGTGCTGGAGCCTGAGACATTCGCCTGTTTCTCCCATAACAGGCTATGGACCCTGAGCCTCCCAGGATGGGAGCAGCTCCTCCTCTCATATTCCTGGTCCAGGCTGGGGCTGCCCAGGTTTGCCTGGGGCAGGAAGTCATGGCCAGCCTGGTGTCCAGGGTTAAGGGTCTGTGTACTCGGACCTAAGAGGGACTGAGAGTCCTGCCTCAGGCTGGCTGGATTTGGGCTGGCAGCCTGGGCCTCGGAGGAAGAGAAGATACTCACAGCGGACATTGAGGGTGACTGGGTCGCTGCGGCTGGCACTCAGTGTGTTCTGTATTTCACATTCATAGGGTCCTGTGTCATTCCTTGTGACACTGATTAGAATGAGGGTCCTGTTGTCACTGGAGAGCACCAGCCTGGAACTGACGGGGCGGCTCTGATTGTTCACCCACCACAGGTAGGTTGTGTTCTGAGTCTCAGGTTCACAGGTTAAAGCCACAACATCCTCGTTCTCCACGGGGTTGAAGTTGTTGCTGGTGATGTAGGGCTTGGGCAGCGCCGCTGTGCAGAAAACAGAGAGAAGCTTGCCCTGTGTGGCCCCGGTGATTCCTCCACGGGCGCCTTTCAATCAGAATTGGCGTCTCCCACCTCTAAGCCCACCCAAGTCCTAAAAAGCCCACAGAAGGTGTGTGTGTCACAAGACAGGTACACAATGATGAGAGCTCAGAGACCCTGAGGCCGCCCGCTTTGTCTTAGAGAAGCACAGACTTTCCCAAGTGTGAATTGTGCAGCAGTGCTGGGTCATGGACAGACCCAGGACCATGAGTTCCAGCCTCTGATGCCTCTCCTGGTCCTTTCCTGATGTCTACCTGCCTGGCCCTTTGAGGTCCTCACCTGGAATGTGCAGGAGCTGAGTTCCTTCCAACTGAACAGTCCCTACACCACCCAGCTGAGGGGTGTTTTCTCTGAGTTTTTTTTTTCTCAAGGATATCCTAGAGACAGGTGATGATAACGACGGGTGCTCCAGCAGACACAGCAGAGGAGACCAGGAAAAAGTCTAGAGGTGAGGTCAGTACTCAGACTGCAGGACCCCCAGGTGGGACAGCTCTCCCCAGGTGTTTGATGGTGACTAATAAGAGCTAGTGGTCACCAGGAAAGTACAGCAGAGTCCAAAAGAAGACACAGAAAGGGTGAGTGAGACAGGCAGGGGCTGGCGGAAAATCTGAGGATGCTCAGTTACATAACAAGAAGAATGAAGGCAAATTAGGAGAAGAGACATGTGTTATGTTGGGAAATTTACAGCCAGGCGTGGTGGCTCAAGCCTGTAATCCCAGCACTTTGGGAGGCCGGGGCGGGTAGATCACCTAAGGTCAGAAGTTCAAGACCAGCCTGACCAACATGGTGAAACCCCGTGTCTACTAAAAATGCAAAAGTTAGTTGGGCATGGTGGTGCGTGCCTGTAATCCCAGCTACTCAGGAGGCTGAGGCAGGAGAATTGCCTGAACCCAGGAGGCGGAGGTTGCAGTGAGCCAAGATCACACCATTGCACTCCAGGCTGGGCAACAAAATTGAAACTCTGTCTCAGAAAAAAAAAAAAGAAAGAAAATTTATAAAGAGCTCCCTGTTGCTAGGTCCTGTGCAGTCAGCAAAACGGGAGAAAGCCCAGCACAGGCATGAGAAATGCTTTCTTCATTTTCTCTTGACCTAAGGGAACACAACTAGAGTTTGATCAAATACATCCAAACTAGGTAGAGTGTAAGCAAGACGCCAGTGGCTGGTGCATCTCCCTGTCCGAGGGACCCCACCTCATGACAATGGCATCATCGTGAGGATGCAGGTGTATGTGGAATGGGCAGCAAACCCATCAGACAGCACCTGCCTGGCCAGCTGCACGTGGCGGAGGTCCCAGGAATGACTGGAGGATCTGAGCCCCACACCAGGGAGGGGATGGAGTTGTGAGTCAAATGGGTGAAATGAGCCCTTGGGCTTTGGGGACTGCAGACCTGTCATTCTACCTCTGACCCCCTGGTGAGTCGGTGTAGAGGGTGGATGGAGGAGGCGCTCATCCCTGTCCTGTGGCCTGTTCCACATGTCGGCCTCACTGAGTGAAAGAGCCCTGGATGGGGACACAGTGGAAGCTTGTTCTCCTGGTGACCTGGGGACATTGGCTCATGATGGAGCCTGGCACGAGTAGCTGCTTCAGCTGATTTCTCTGCCTTTCCTATTGCCTGGGAGGTGGGCCAGGCCACAGTGTGATTGTGAAGCGGACAGGACAGTTAGCCTTGTTAGAGGGAGTGTCTGGGGAAGGCCTAAGGGTGGAGGAAGCTGTGCAGGGCAGGGCATCCCAGCTAGAACGAAGGGGGAGGAAGATGAGGGACACGGAGGAGCAGAGAGAGCCAGAGACACCCACGGCCTGACTGGAGGACCTGAGCCAACAGCAAGATGAGGATGGACTTGTTGTAAAATGGGTGAAATACACCCATGGGCTGGGGACTGCACATCTGTCCTGCCCCTGGGCCCCTGGTGAGTCAGTGTAGAGAGCAGATAGAGCAGTGGTTTGTCCCTGTCCCATAGTCAAGCATTTGGACACTCATGAGACTCAACACCCGGGTGGCTTCTTTTTTTTCAAGAGCCAGGTATCTTGCTATGTTGCCCAGGCTGGTCTTGAACTCCTGGGCTCAATACACCCTCCTGCCTCAGTCTCCCACTGGGGTGGCTCTAGGGGCAGGGGATGAGAGGGCTGGAACAGGGGTATCTCAGCCCCTTGGAGGGACAGGGAACAGGTGAGGCCAGGACCTCCTAGGATCCTGCATCAGCTTCCAGTCTCTGAAGAGACTGTGGATCATTTATTCCTTCACTCATTCCCTGCCTCCTTCATGAGAACTGCTGAGCAAATGTGTGTCTCATGTGGGGTCCTGGCTTGTGCAGGGTGTATTGTCTCTGGCTTGCCTTGTTGTCTGTGAATTCACCTTAAAATAATCACAATGACTGGCCTAGAGCCCTGTGTAGAAGAGCAGCATCTGATTGTCTGCTCCAGGAGTGGGTTATTTGGGCCTGTTTTCTGGTGATTCCTTATAGCAGAATCATTCTTCCTCTCTTTCGGCCCCTGAAGACACTGACCCCTGTGCCAGGATCTCTCTTAAGTTCCTCATCCAGGGGGCTGAGGTCCTAGTAACCCTGTCCATCTGTCCTCTCCTGGGGCTGAGTCTCAGGTGAAGAATGAGGCTCTGTCCTTGCCCAGATGACGCTCTAGGGGCTGGGCCCTGGCTAGTGACCAGCTCCCTAAGCCATGGTCCTCAAACAGCTCAAATCCTTGCTCCCAGTCAGTTCAGCCAAGAGGCCACAACCCAGCCCTGGCACAGGTTCCTTAGGGTCACCTGGAGTCGGGAGCCCTGGCACAGGTTCCTTAGGGTCACCTGGAGTCAGGAGCCCTGGCACAGGTTCCTTAGGGTCACCTGGAGTCGGGAGCCCTGGCACAGGTTCCTTAGGGTCACCTGGAGTCAGGAGCCCTGGGACAGGGGTCTGGGGCTAGTGCTTCCAGGGCTGAGCTTCTCTGTGAGGATTCCAGGGGACCCCTTAGGCCAGGTCCTGACCCAGTTCTCCAGGGTCTTTTTCATGGGAAGGGCACAATCCTGGCTGGGACCAACCTTCTCCTGCTGAGTCCCCGTCATCAGACTGTCCTTCCTCTGCTGCGAGTGTCTGCAGGGTCTGGATGCAGGAAAGGGATTCTGATCTGTGGAAGTTTGTCTCCCCTGTGTGTGTCCTGCACTAAATGCCAAACCCCAACACAGGACGAAATGTAGATGGGGACACAGGCACAACCCAGGCCTGACAAGCCGTGTGTGCGGAGTAGACCTGACCCCAGCACCCAGAAATCACGGAGGAATCACTCACCCTGCACGTCGAATCGGCCGAATACTTCTTCGCTCGTAAGGTTTCTGTGTATGACGTGTAGGGTGTAGCTTCCTGTGTCGCTGGGGGTGACGCTCTGGATCAGCAGGGATGCACTGGGGAACAATATCTCCCGGCCGCTGTGTGCCGGCCCTGAGGTAGATACTTGAGTCTCTATTGCATATCCTATAATCCGATAGTTGCTGTCCACCCTTTCCCCTTTGTACCAGTTGTAGCCAAAAACATCTTGGGACATGTTATTGACAAGCAGAAGAACCTCCTTCCCCTCCCCAACAATGGGTGGCACGGCTTCAATACTGGGCTGGGCAGCAGTGCGCAGGTTCCAGGTTAGAAGTGAGGCTTGGAGGGGGAGAGAGCATCAGTCAATATTGGGACCTGTGCATTGGGGTGGAAAGATGGGGCCCTGGGTCCCAAGCGGGTCTCTCTACCCACCCCCATCTTGAGAGAGAGAGAGAGAGAGAGAGAGAGAGAGAGAGAGAGAGAGAGAGAGAGAGAGAGAGAGAGAGAGAGAGCGCATGTGTGTGTGTGTCCTACTGGATCAACATCAGCAGTGTGCCCCTCCCATTCCTTCAGCACCTCTGACCTTCGCATTTCCCTCTTTGGAATCATCTTCCCCAGGGGTCTGCACCTGCTCACATCAGGGCATCCCTAGGAGACCCCTCCCCGACACCTCCTCTGGAGACCCTGGGTCTTCCCTTTCTGACCTTTCCCTGCTCTGTTCCCTCCAGGGCTCTTGTCAACACCTGACCTCACACTCTAGATCTCTTTGCGTGTCTGTCTTCCTCCCCATGAGAGCGTGAGCTCCGTGAGGGCAGGGACTTCTGTGATCCTGGCTGCACCCCAATGCCTGGGACCATCTGTGAACTCCTGTGGTCGAGCTCATGAGCGCTCCCAGGGCCCTCCACAGCCTGGGGTTTATTTGCCAATGTCTGAAGTTGGTGGCTACGGATAATGTCTTATGCCCTGGTTATGTTTTTATTTGAAACATCATGTGATCTAGTTATTATCATGTTTCAAAATGTAGCAGCTAGTGATCATTAGCCAGGAAAAGAGAACATGTGAGATTTTCTTGACCTTTTCCAATTCCAGTTCAATGTGATTTTCCTGTTCTGGTTTCCTGTTCCTCTCTCGTGTCCTCTCCCACATTCAAGCTTCAACAGAAGTCCCTTTGTCCCCTCTCAGAGCCCCGTCCTCCCAAGGAGATCCCAACCAGTCTCTCTGGCCCTCCTCCCACCCAGTCCCAGGGAGTCCTCCCCTCACCTGTGAGCAAGAGCCCCTGCCAGGGGATGCACGTTCTACGGGGACGGGCTGAGGCGGGGCCCATGGTCCCTGCTGCCTGCTTGTCCTCTGTGTAGGGGAGCTTGGGCTCCAGGAACGCTCTAGTCAGGGCTGCTGTGACTCTCAGCTCTGCCGTCCTTCCTCCTCTGTGCTGAGCCTCCTCCCAGAGCAGGAGCACTTTCCAAGATCACATGGTCCAGGGGTGGGGTCTCTGCCCAGGAGTCCTCTGTCCCCTCCCCTCTCATTTCTACCTCTTTTGTCCCTCCTCCTCTTCCCCTTCTGTCTATATTCAGTTCCCCAGACAAAGCTTTGAGAAGCAAGGCTGTTGGACCCCTGTCCCCTGGGAGGACAACCTGCCTTTCCCTGTGCTGACCTATGCTGTGTTCAGGCCTTAGGTCTGTCACACCAGGGGGATTACTTCCCTTGTGACAGAGAAACCCAGCTGGGCATGGGGTTTCTGCTGGGATGATGCCAGTGCTCCTGTGTCCTGCAGTCACAGCAGAGGCCCTGACTGCGGCCGTCACCTGGAAGTGACGTGCTTCTGTTGTGTGGCTGCCACGCATTCAGCCAGTATTCATTGAGGATGTGTTGTGTGTCAGACACTGGGCTGGGCCCGGGGATTCCACACAGAGCAGGACAGAAGTAGGCCCTACACTCACAGAGTTTCCCTGAAACAGCCGCTCCGTGAATGTCGTGGGATTGAGGAGCTAATGATGATGGAGAAGGGCTGTGATTTGGCTCTGAGGATCACCGGGAGCTGCCCCGGGCGATGTCCTTTCAGCTGAGCCCAGGAAGGAGGGGATGCAGGGGCAGGAGCTGCCTGCAGGAGTGGCTTTAGCTGGGCGGCAACTGGGCTGCAGGGAGGAGCTGACAGAGACCGTGTGGGGAGCTTGGAGGGCGAGGAGGAGGTGGGTCGAGTGGTGAGGGTGGACCCTGGGGGGCTGTGGGTCCTGCTGAGGGACGTCAGCAGCCCCTGGGGAGGCTCCAGGCCAGGAGGGACTCTGCCGCCCTCTGGTGGACACTCAGGAAAATGTAAACGAAAAAATCAGGATAGGTTTAATTCAGCATGATCATTACGCATTGATCACATGTTTGCTTCACACTTTAAATTCTACAAATCTCTCATGCAAGCCCTTCTCTAGTCTACCTCGAATGAATCATCAAAATCGGATTTGCGGTCTTATGTCAGGCCACGTTCTGTGCGCACTTTGGGGGATCTGCACAGTATTCACACCTGAGGGCCGGCTGGAGCGTGTGTTATGGATAGAAGGGAGGATTCATGTCCATGGATCTCGCAAGAGCCAGAGTGTTTGTGGATAAGTCTCCACCTGATCCCAAAGAACAAGGGATCAGAGCCTGATGAAATCAGAATCCAGGGGTGGGGCCGGGGCTCTGTGCCTTCTCCTCCCCTCTCTCTCTCTCTCTGGGGAGTTCTCCCTCATCTCCCTCAGCAGAATTCCTGGGTCTCTTTGTATGAAGATAGATGGTGGGTCCTTACAGACCCACCCAGAGTTTTTTAGCAGAGACAACAGGTTTCAGTGTCAGGGGCCCTTGTCACTCCTCAGGTCTCCCCACATCCCTCCTCAGAGACAGATATAAACGTAGCTACTTCTGCTCACTTTTGGTTTCCATTTGCATGGAATACTTATTTCTACCCCTTTACCTTCAATCTGTTAGGATCTTTATGAATAAGTAGAGTTTCTTGCAAGCAGCATATGCTTGGATCATGTTTTTTTTAAATCTGTTTCACCAATCTGTATCTTTTAAGCAGAGCATGTAATCTATTTACATTCAAGGTTCATATTGACACGTGAGGTTTTCTTCCTGTCATAATGACAATTGTCAGGTAGTTATTTTGTAGCTTTTTTTTTTTAATGGACTTTTCATTTCCACGTTTAGAACTCCTTTGAGCATTTCTTATAGGACCAGTTTAGTGGTGACAGATTCCCTCAGCATTTGCTTCTGGGAAAGACTTTATTTCTCCATTTTGAAGTTTATTCTTGCAGGATAAAAAACATTCAAAGTTGATGTTTATTGCTGTTTTTTCTTTAAGTACTTTGAAAATAGATTCTCAATCCCTTCTGGCTTGTAGGGATTCTGCTGAGAAGTCTACTGCTAGTCTGATGGGGTTTCCTTTACAGGTGATTAAACACTTTTCTCCCGCATATTTTCAAATTTTTTCCTTCACGTTGACCTTAGACAGTCTAATAACCATAGTTGTGGTGAGGTCCTGCTTGCAATCTACCTGGCTGGTGTTCTTTAAGCCTTTTCTCTCTGAATGCCTGGATGTCTTACTAGACTAGCTAAGTTTTCCTCAATAATTTCCTCAAATACGTTGACCAAACTTTATAGTTTTTCTTCTCCCTCAGAAATACCTGTTATTCATAGGTTTGGATGTTTTACTTGGTCCCATGCCTATCAAAGGCTTTGTTCACTTTTTAATTCTGTTTCTTTATTTTTGTTTTAATAGATTAATTCTAAAGACCTGTCTTCAAGTTATGAGATTCTTTCTTCTGCTAGGTCTGGTCTGTTGTTAAAGCTTTCAACTGTATTTTGTAATTCCTTCAGTGATTTTTTTTAATTTCCAGAAGTTCCAGTTGTTTGTTTGTTTAATATCGATCTCTCTGGTAAATTTCTCATTTGTATCCTGAATTGATTTTCTGATTTCTTTGTATTAATTTTCATATTTATCTTGGATCTTTTTGAGCTTCTTGAAAATCAATACTTTGAATTCTTTATCTGGTATCTTAAAGATTTCATTTTCATTAGAAACTATTGCTGGATAGTTAGTGTGATCTTTTTGGAGTGTTATTATAACATCCTTTTTTTTATACTTCAAGAATTGTTACACTGGTTCCTTCTCATTTGTAGAAATTGTCAATTCTTTTTGTTTTTGAATTTACTTTTGCTTTGATGGAATTTTTTTTCTTGAAGATACTATTATATTGTATGTTGAGTAGGGTCATTTGGCTTTCCTTCTGGGTGTTTTCAGTGGCAGAGACTCTATGAACTCTTTGGTTACAGATAGTTTTAACATGGTGGCTTTTTCAAATGCCAGCAACTGTAGCAGTGCATTGAACGAGAAGGGGTTTGCTCATGCTCCCAATCCAGGAGAATTTATTTGGCATCTGCCTTCTTCCCACTCCTTGGTTATCAAGACTAAGCAACAAGGATTCTGAATTTGGGGACAGGCAAGTTTATTTGTAGAGTTCAGTGATAGACAATGCCACCAGGGCCTTGGTGAAGAGGGCAGGAAGGCTCAGGACACTGGGGGTTAAGTGAAACCACACCTATTATCTATAGCACCCATGGATGCTCCTTTCTGATTGCTCACCTTTCTGTTGATATCAGATGGGCACATCTGCTGTGCCTTCACAGAAGGACACAGGCTAGGAGCTGTGAATGGCCTTCATTCTCGGAGCTGTGTGAGGACAGCAGGTGGGGAAGATCATGTGTCTTCCTGGGTCCTGCAGGACCAGAACATTCATCATGCACACTGACCTCATAGATGGGAATAGCTGCCCTGGGGCTGGGCTGGTGGGGCCTGGGCAGGGGAGAAAGGACATCAGGGAACAAGGAGGAAGGGTCATCCAGGCCCAGCCTAGAAGGTTCTTGCCTCTGACTGTCTAGGACTTACTTCCCTGCATCTACCTTTAGTCACTTCCCCTCAGCAATGACCAGTTCTGCATCCTGAGCTCAGCCTCTCAACCTAGACACAGCACCCCGGTCCCTGTCCTGGATGCATTCACTCCATGTCCTGCTAACCCAGGATCCATTGCTTCTAGGGTACAAAGGGTCCAGGAGAGAGAAGCTGAGGAAAGACCTGAAGAAGTCGCATCTGTTCTGGCCAGACAGGAAAACCATCTGCTGCTGAACCAGCGAATGTTGGCCCAGGAAAGAGACAGAGGACCCAGGAAAGCAGTCAGACCACCGGGGTTAGCCTGAGAGGAAGGGTCGAGGCCCCTGAGAGAAAGCAGGGGAATCCCGAGGAACAGAGGGAGAGCCCAGGGCTGGCTGCACGTGCAGGACACTGGGGGACCACATGTGTCTTGGATTCTCCCTGATCTCAGTGTCCCTGTCACGGCCAGACCCTCTGCTCAGGCCTGGACATGCTGAAATGGGACAATGGCCTTGTCCTCTCTCTCCACCATTTGGCAAGAGATGTAAAGGACATTCCAGGACATGCTGTCCTGGCAGGCCCTGGTTCTCTGTCCCATACCTCAGGGACTGCAGTTACTGCATCAGCTATGGTGGGTGCTGATCCTGCCCAGTCTGTCCATGCTCTTCCATTCTCCACTGTGTGACTACGCCCAGGAACCATCCTCAGATCCTGAGCCTGCAAATCCCCCTCATGAGTGGATTCAATCAACAGTGAGCCCCTGTCTAGCCCCCAGATCCACCTCCATCACCTTCCTGTTGGGCATCAGCCCACCTTCCCCAGCACTAAAGAGCACGGGCAGACCCAGCCAGCTGGGTTTCTGCATCATGAAGAAAATAAAACCCTAGGCTTGAATACCCAGGGCTCTGTGTGTGAAGCTGACAGACCTGAGACAGCAGAGGTCAGCAGTGGGGAGGGCGGGTCATCCTCCCAGGGGACAGAGTGCACCAGCCTTGCTACTGAAAGAGCCTCCCCAGGACAGCGCCATCAGCCCCACCTGACAGCTTTGCCAAACAGCAGTCAGAGGAGGCCACGGCAGTGGCTGAGCTCCTGCTCCAGGTCCCAGTGGACCAGACCAACAGCACAACTCAGTCCTTCCCCAAAGTTCCAGGTCACCAAAGGGTAATTGAGGTGCTACCTAACCTTACAGCCATCAGGGGAGATAATAGCCCAATTTCCGAAACAGGCCAGTTTCAGTCACATGACAATGACCTCTCTGTTCTCATCCTTCCCAAAATAGGACCCTGATTCCCCCTCATCAGGGATTTCTCCCTTGTCCGTGAGCCTTTCCTGCCCGCTATGATCTGGGCACTCCTAACACACACCTCCTCTCTGGTGACATCTCAGGATCCCTCACTGTCAAGCAGCCCAGAAGAACAGACCCTTGGACAGCGCCCACCTCAGCTTCACCCTTCCTCCCTCACGGGGTTCAGGGCTAAGAACAAATGGCAGAGGCCAGTGAGCCCAGAGATGGTGACAGGGCAGTGACCCAGGGGCAGATGCCTGGAGCAGGAGCAGGTGGGGACACAGGGAGAAGGTGATGCAGGAAGGGAAACCCAGAAACGGGCAGGAGAGGAGGACACAGGCTCTGTGGGGCTGCAGCCCAGGTGGGACTGTGAGTGTGAAGCCATCTCAGCAAGTAAGGCCAGCTCTCATAAACGAGAGGGGGAGCATGTGACTTCCTTCCTCAGTGTCCCCACTCTGAGTATGGGGGAGATTCCATGCCCCATAGAACCAGCTGGCCAGGGTTCAGCTGGCTGGGGTTCAGCTATCCAGGGGATCCCCAGGATAGGAGCACCCCAGTGTCCCCACCAGGCAGGTGACTGGTAAACAGGCATGCAGGGTCCTCCTGGGCTGGGCTCTCCTTCTGTTCCTCGGGATTCCCTGAAGAGCATCCAGAAATCCAACCTCTGCTCGGTGGGCTCTGGGGAGTCCACGTGAAGGCAGGAACTTGTGTTGCTGGGAGGGGTCATGGCATGTGCTGGGGGCACCTGAGAAAGAAGCCTGGGGGCAGGCAGGACCTGGGCTGAGGAGGCATAGGAGCCCAGATGGGAAGAGGAAGGCCAGGAGAAGCTGCCCCAGCAGGGAGGGTGATAGGAACAGGGGAGGATGTGGGAGTGGGCACATGGGATTCCTGGTCTCTGCAGAGTTCCCTCCCATGGTCATAACCTGGGGACACTGGCCCAAGAAGGGGTGCTTTTTGCCCAGCCAGATACTACTGGCTCTGCCCATCTCCTACCCTCCCTGCTCCGGCCACTCTGGGTCTTTCTCCAGATGCCCTGGACAGCCCTGGCCTGGACCTGTTCCCTGAGAGGTGTTGGGAGAATCTGAGTCTCTGGGGACACCCTCATCTGAGTCTGAAAGGCACATCAGGAAACATCCCTGGCCTCCAGGATGGGGCAGTGAGGACAGGGCCCCCGGTCCTCCCTTTGCCACTGAGAGGTTCAGCCCTGGGTGGTCACTTCTGCATCTGCCCCAGTCACCCTGAAGCCACAGCAAAGCCCCAGTCCCAGGCCCTGCAGGTGCAGCACAGGTGGGGACAGCTTGTACCCAGGGGAGGCCAATTCTTCCTTCCTGGGAGACCAGGCCTCAGGGCTGTGCCCAGGGCAGAAGGGGGCAGCACATACCTGTCCTTGAAAACTCAGGACCTTGAGGGTCTCTGCTCTGTGAGGCAGAGCGAAGATCCTTCTGTCCAGAGGTAAAAGCAGGTCTTGCCCCTCCTCCGACCTCCTCTTCCTTCCCAATATCAACCAACAAATGGGTGTCTCAAATCTCAGCATCAAATCTTAATCCACCCACATGAGAAAGCCTAAAACTTGGTGTTCCAACACCAAGTGTTGGAACAACTAGACATGGAGATGCTGCTTGTGGAAACTTAGATGTGTTCATCTATCAGGCAGGAGAATCTGTGAAATTCCAGCACCGTTCAGAAGAATCCAAAGTGTCACAGTCCAAATGTGCAACAGTTCGGATAAAACTGTGGTGCATTCAAACTGAGGGATATTGTAGAACGTGAGAAAGGAACGGATTGCTGCTGCACACAGCATGGGTGATCCCACACACAGAGCTGAAAGAAAGGAGCCAGTGGAGAATAGGAAATAATCACTAGGCCAGGTGCGGTGGCTCAGGCCTGTAATCCCAACACTTCGGGAGGCTGAGAAGGGTGGATCACCTGAGGGTAGGGAGTTCAAAACTAGCCTGACCAACATGGAGAAAGCCCATCTCTACTGAAAATACAAAGTTAGCCGGGTGTGGTGGCACATGCCTGTAATCCTAGCTACCTGGGAGGCTGAGGCAGCAGAATTACTTGAACCTGGGAGGCGGAGATTGCAGTGAGCAGAGATCATGCCATTGCACTTCATCCTGGGCAACAAGAATGAAACTTCATCTCATCAAAAAGGAAAGAGAAAGAAAGAGAGTGAAAGGAAGGAAGGGACGAGGGAGGGAGGGAGAGAAAGAAAGGGAAAATGATTACTGATTTCACCTCTGTAAAGTTTCCAAGAGGAAAACCCAACTCTGGAGCAAGAGATCAGAATGGAGGTGACCTGTGCCTTGCAATGGCTGTGGGGGCATTGGAGTGTCACTTGGTGCAGGCAATGTACGATATCTTAAGCTGGGCAGGGCTTTCAAGAGCACATGGGAATGCAGACATTACTGCTATGTTCATTTTTCTTCACAAAAAAAGAAGTATAAAATCAGCCAGGCTCAGTGGCGCACGCCTGTAATCCCAGCACTTTGGGAGGCTGAGGCAGGCAGATAACTTGAGGTCAGGAGTTTGAGACCAGCCTGGCCAACATGGTGAAACCCTATCTCTACTAAAAATACAAAAAATGTGCCAGGTGTGGTGATGGGTGCCTGTAATCCCAGCTACCTACAAGGCTGAGGCTGGAGAATTGCTTGAACCCAGGAGGCAGACGTTGCAGTGAGCCAAGATCACGGCACTGCACTCCAGCCTGGACAACAGAGTGAGACTCCGTCGCCCTCACCAAAAAAAAAGAATTATAAAATCTTTTTGGGTTAAACAAAAAATAATGCACAAAACAAACACCAGCTCTTATTAAATTTACACAACTCTCCCAGAGAACAGGAAAGGAAGACAACTCATGAACTCATTTTTTGTGGCAGTAAAACCTTCATGCGAAAAACAGACCAGGACACAGTGAGGAAGTAAGATTGCAGGACTCACTTGGGAACAGAGAGGGAAAATCCACAAATAAATTATGACCAAAAGGAGCCAGGATTTACAGTGTTGAGTTTATTCCCCAGGTATTCAAGGTGATTTTAACACCTGAAAATTAACCATTGCCTTTACTACATCGACAGATTAGCTAAAAAAAAAATTATAATTAGCAGAACAGAAGCAAATGGCCTTTCCTGAAATTCCACGTCATTCCATCATGATGGAGACAGTGCAGACGCCAATGACAAATAATAAAAAGAGGGACCTCCATCACCTGGTAAACATGTCCTCACAGTTTCAGAATGCACCTCGCTTCCCAGTGAATCACTGCATCCTCCCTTTCATCAGCCCCAGGCAAGGCTGCCTGCGACGGCCACACAGGCTCCAACCCAGGGGCCTCACCCTCCTGCAGAGGATCTCCCGTGGCCACCCCACGGAGACAGCATGAGGACAGAGCAGAGCCTTTGATGCCCACACATGAGGCCAGAGCCATGGGGGCTGGAGAGCAGAGCTGCTGGGGTCAGAGATTCCTGAGGACACCCAGGCCTAAGGGGAGGCAGCTCCCTGGATGGGGGCAACCAGGCTCCGGGCTCTAACCTCAGAGCCCACATGGGAGAAGCCACCACTCTAGGCCTTTCCTAGGGTGACTCTGACAGGACAGCAGGGGTGTGACACATGGCAGGATTCCTGAATGCACCCAAGATAAAGGGGTCACCAGGGGACACTGTTCTTCTGGCAGATCAGGAGGGAGTGAGGATACCATGCCAGGCCTCCACGGCATGACTGGGACTGACCCAGACCACTCCCCTGCATGCATTGCCCTCAGAAAGTCACATGGCCAAGCCCAAGACCCATGTGGGAGGAGGGGAACAGGATCCCCTTTAGAGATGGAACCCAGGGTCAGTGCGAAGAGAGGCCATGAAAGAGTGGTCTAACCTACAGCACGAACCATCGTCCATCATAAGTAGACGCCCTGCTCCATGACCCCTGCATTTAAATAAATGTTTGTTAAATGCGTCAAATGCCCTCACCCTGAGATCTCACCTGTGTGTAAGCCTATCACACACACAAACACACATACACACACCCAGAGAACTTGTAGGATCCTGGACACAGGAATGCAGACATTACACCAGGCAGGCATCAGGGCAGAGCGAACAGCGTGAATGACCCACACTGTACCCTGGGGCCCATCAGCTCAGAGACCCTGTGAGGGCTGAGATGGGGATAGGCAGGGGGGAGACCAGAGAGGGTGGGGCCTGCAGGAAGGGGGCTGCAGGAAGCTGGGCACTGCCTTCCATGGAGGCAAGAGCACTGTTCCCATCAGAAAGTACATCTTCCTGCAGCAGCTGCACAGACACAGGAGCCCCTGTGCCCACCCTGGGCCACGGTGTGGATTCCAGATTTCATGCCCCAATGGGTGGGACTGAGATTTTCAGTGACATCCAAGGGGAACCTGTGATTCCAAGCTTAAACTACTGTGCCTACAAAATAGGAAATAACCCTACTTTTCCTGTTAAATCTCAAATGCCCTAAGCACAAGCTAGCACCTTCTAAATCAGACGTTCAGTCACTCCTGGGGTCCTCCCACACCCGGCTCTGACATGCAGGTGCAGAGAGTGGCTGACACCTGTCCCTGCTCCTCCCCTTGGCTCAGCTGCTGCCCCTCCTGGGGTGATTGATGATCAGGACAAGGGAGCCTAGAGCTGGCCCCATGACTGACGGGAAGGCAGAACTTGGCCTCCATTCTGAAGACTGGGATGTCTGGAGAGCTGGGCATCCCACAGAGCT